ATCTAAATAAAAAACAAGAACAAACAAATTTTAGGTTAAAAATATTAAAAAATTTTTATTTAAGTGTTTGTAATAAGGCATTTCAAATTTTTATAAAAACACACATATAGTCATGTGCAAAAGTGTAAAAGTGTTTAAATAAAGTATACTTATAATTTTCGCGCATTTTATTATTAAATATCTCAGGAAAAAAGTCTCAAAGAGATTTTTGATCACGCACTTTAAAGCGTAAAAATAGGACTTTAAATTTGCGTTTGAATCTTTTATCTACGATATTTTGTTTCTAAATTATATAAAATTAAAAAATTATATCTTTGCAATATCTTTGTAATATTTTTTTACTTTAAAGCGTTACAATTCAATGAAACATCAGCAAACAAAATTTAATATAAAATTATCTGAAAATAGGCTTTCTAAGCTTTAAAATGTTTTTTGAAAAAAATTTGTACGGTATTTTTTTTGCAATGAAATCATATTTTTTGTTATATGATGTTTTATTGTGTAATAATTTTTTAAAATTAATGACAAATGAAATTGATGATAAAATTTTTTTTAAAATTTGAAAAAAAATTTATATGGATAAAGTAAATTATATGGATAAAGTAAAAAACATTATACGAGGACAAGTCAATAAGTTTAGAAAAACATAGTAAAACACATTTTTTTTGATCGATTCATTTTTATTTTTCAACATAGTCTCTTTTTAGTTCGATACACTTGATCCAACGATTCTCCAACTTTTTCAAGCCGTCCGAATAATATGATTTGTCCAAATCTTCAAAATAAGTCTCTGTTTCGGCGAAACTGTTGAGCTGCTCTCTGGTGGTAAATCTCTTTCCTCCGAATCATTTCTTCAGATTTGGAAACAGGAAATAGTCGCAGGGGATTAAATCTGGCGAATATGTTGGATGGAGAAGCAATTCGTAGCGGAAGTCGTTGAATTTGGCCATCGGTGCCGGGCACATGTGAACTCGTGCATTGATGGAAGAGTACTTTCTTCTTCGCCAAATGGGGACGATTTTTCTTTAAAATATTATTGAAATGATCCAATAAGGCTGCGTAGTAATCGCCATTGATCGTTTGCTTCGACGGAAGGTAATCGATATGAATTATACCACGTGCATCTCAAATAACTGACCATCACCTTTTCAGTCGATTTTAAGAAGGCGAAGGTCTTCGCCTTCTTCGGAGTTGGTTCACCCGGTGAAGTCCATTTGACTGTTCTTTTGTCTCGAGTGTGAAGTAATGGATCCATGTTTCGTCCATAATAATGAATCGACGATTACATAGAAATTCATTTAGATTATGTTGAAACATCTCCAAACATTGTTTTGAAATCGTCACACGATCGCGCTTATCCACAATGAGCAAACACGCACCCATCTTGCCGATAGCTTTTTTATACCCAATTATTCGTGCAAAATTGAAATCACTGTACCATGTGATATGTCTGTGGCCTCAACAAGCTCGCGCACTTTCACTCGTCGATCAATCAAATCAACAATATCGTGGACTTTATCGATGATTTCTGACGTAGCAGCTTCCCAAACATCCCAAACAAGGTGCATCATATGGATGCACGATCACGTTTAAATTCATTCACCCAATTGTATACAGTCGCAAACGTTGATGCAGATGTGCTATGAACATTATCCAACTCGATTTTAATCGATTTCTTTCGATTAAACCGAAATTTAAACCGTTTAACCTTTCATATGAAATTTAAACCGTTAACCTTTCATATGTAGATGTTTGATCACTGCACGAAACACGTTTTTTTCCATGTTGCAAAAAATACAAAGGTTGTTCGCTCAAAATTTGATAGTAATCAGCTGATAGATGCTACTTGTCAAAAAGTAATGTGACATGACTGCGAGTGCAGATTTTTTAAGAATTTATTGACTTATCAATAAACATTTCTTTTTTTTGTCTTTTTGATGTATATTTTTTAGTTTTTGAAATTAAAAATATTTTTAAAAAAGCAAGTTTATACATTATATCATACAAATGTTTTCCAAATTTCTTGCATATGGCTGCGTCTTATTTTATTTGTTGACTACGATTTAGTTTAAAAATAAAATTGATAATAACATTATATTGTACATATATGACTGATAAAGTAAAGAATTACTGAAAGTCATACAATAATAGTGGATACAATAGAAATTAAGTAATGAAAAGATTTGATTTTAGAAAATGAAGTGCTTAGTTTTCTAAACGTTAAGTCAACACCATATGAATTGAAGGAATTTTTCTTTGTATAAATAAAACAAAACTGTCCGTCTTAAAATCTTTCTTATAATCTCACTCTTAAAATTTTATTTCAATTTATTCAGAAAATAACATTTTTTAAAAAGAAAAATAAACTAAAACCGACTTACAGGCAAACAGGCCACATTTCCTAAACATAATATCCTGTTGACCGTTTATAAAGAAAAGGATCAGCTGAAAGAATCATATGTCGTCGACTTCAAGAAATTCTGGCACTTTGATAATCCTCGTGCAGATTTGTAAGGTCATGTTAATCTTTTGCTTCGTTGGATGCACGGCCGGTAAGTGAGACATAATTTCCACACAATTTTTTATTGCAGTTTTATTTTTCTTGATTTATATTAATTACAGTCAGATTACAAAAACGTTTTAGACAAATGTAACACACTTTCTTCATACAAAAAGCAAAAATTGTATTCAATTTGAGGAACAAATTTTAGTCAAAATGACATAATTTTGACTAATAAATAAAAGTTGACGTAATAATTTTTAATTACAAGATTTGAAAAAACTTTCAGACTTCTGAATTTGTGAGATCACCTCAAAGTCTTTTTGTAGTTGTAATGTCGATATCAATTTTTGTTTTACAAAAATTGTGTAACCATTTTAAATTAAAATAAAGTCGTCTTGATTTTCTGTTGATTTTACGTCGTGTTCCCTGGAAACATGTAGAATATGTTGAAAGACGTATTTCGAAAATTTTGCTGCATTCTGAAACATATGTAATATAAAAAATTTTTCAAAGCATTTAATATTATTTTATTGCTCGCAAAACTTATCTTGAAGGATGTATACATTATTCACTTATAAGAATCAATCTATATATATATAATTATTAAGAATGGCTCTTTTCAATCAATAAATAATCAACTTTACTTACTGGATGAGAAGAGCTATTAGAGTCTAGCAAGATATAACGTATGCCATAATTATAATGTTTTATTAAAATCTATATAATATCTATATAATAAAATCTATATAATAAATGTTTGAATATAAATAATATTCAAACGTTTCGATCTTTTTCCAATGGTTCTCTTCAGTGAATGTATACAAAACATACATATGCTTACTTGTACAATTTATTATATAATTTAATCTATTGTGAATATAATTATATATTGGTTCTGACGCCCATTGTCTCAAATTAAATTATTCTAATACCATCCATGCTTAACAAAATTCATTACTTGCGGCAGAATCGACACTCAAGAATTATGATTTAATAATTATGTATTATACTTCATGACTATCAATATGATATTATCATTATTGTACTAAAATTATAATGTAATATAAGCTGTATATAAGCTGTGGATGTAATATGTTATTTTAATTAAATTTAATTAAATTAATTAAAATATTGTTACCTAAATTCCTCAGTTTATTGATTCTCCGATCGACAATTATTGTGACATTTCGCAAATGTACATTTAATATTGACAACTATATTGTACTTTCTAACATGTACATTGTGGTGGGAGTAATTTGTCTAAGTGGAAAACAATAATTCTAAAACGGGAAAATAATTATCTAATTCTATATCATTTTGTTTATTCAAGTCTGCTGTCTTGTTTCAATGTGTATCATCTTAGATCTACTTTTTTACATATGAAGATTTATTATCTAATAATGGACATTATTCCAGTCGAATTCATGTTTTTCTTTTAATCTATCAAGTATGTAAATATGAAACCGGAATTTACCAATAGATGGCTATAGCTGTCAATGCAGTTGCCGTCAGACGGCGTCATTGACGCCATTTCCTTGTTCTGACATCTGACAAAGATTTTCAACTCACACAACAATACAAGTTTCATGTAACAGTATAGTTTGTAATAGCGTTGAACATGTCGAATTTTGTGCCTGGAAACTACAATTTGCGGACAGCATTGATTTTCTGTTATATTTTATATTGTCATAACTGGAGTGTCATGATAATTTGAAGAAAACTGCTGCAGAATCGCATAGAATGCTTGTCGAAGCTTACGGTGAGCATGCTCTTGGTAAATCATAGTGCTTTGAGTGGTTTAAAAAATTCAAAAGTGACGATTTTGACGTGAGAAACGAAAAACGTAGAAAACCACCGAAAAAATTTGAAGATAGCGAATTGCAAGCATTGTTGGATGAGAATGACGCTCAAACAACAACTCGCAGATCAATTGAATGTGACACGAGAAGCTGTCTCCATACGTTTGAGATCTATGGGAAAGATCCAGAAGATAGGAAAATGGGTTCCACATGAACTGAATGAAAGACAGCAGGAAAACCGAAAAACTACTTGCGAAATGCTGCTCGGCATGATGGCTAAATGACTGGTTTGGCTCAAAAGAGCAACAATTTTTTTGGCGTGGCATCCACAAATTGTCAAACAGGTGGAAAAATGTATACCTACCGATAGGCAATACTTCGAATAAAATATTTTATCATTTTCAATAAACGTATATTTTCTATAAAAAAATTCCGGTTTCATATTTACATATCTGATATGTTCTGATACAACGGGGGATCACTTAATTTTTTATATCGTTCTTAATTATTTATATGTTTCTTTACACTTGTCCCTAATTTCCTTTTTGTTTGTCCCATGTGCTAATAGCTTATCTTGCTATGCTCTAATAATCCTTGAACATTGAATTTTATTCATATTAAGTAGCAAATTATATTATTCTTAATTGTAATTAAATTTATGTGGGCGTTAAGATACGTTATCAATATAATTATCATCATTATAATTATCATTATAGGGTAGATATTTATTAAATTTATAAAAGCCTATTTAATATAGAAGTAACTTGGTTACGCAATGATTTTATTAAATTAACCAAAAAACATATTAATAATTGTACATATAAAGTTCCTAAATACTATACTTGTAGAAAAAGTAAATTAATACCACTGCATTTAAACATGTATTGTAAACATGTATTATGAAACACATTGTCTTCTATTATAACGACAAAAATACAAGTTCAAAAAATTGTGTAGAGAACATGTACAAAAGACAATACAAATTGAATTAAAAAATGCATAGATATAAGTATTGGTTAAGAAAAAGATTATTTATAATTACAGACAAGATATCGAAGCATCTTTCTTACAATATAACGTGCACGTTTTTTAATTATCAAGAAAGAAAAATAATATCATCTGTGATACATTTAATGTAAAAATATGAAAAAGTTACTACATTTAAAAAATAATAAATTAAAGGATATAATTAACAACAATAAAACGATTGAATATAATATATTAATAGACGTAATAAAAAGATCCACAATTCTCATGGCTCAGATACAAAGGCCACTATTTTTATATAAGAAACAAGAAGAACATAGAGTAGAAAATTATATAGTATAGTATTTAATTATATAGTAATTTAATTATATAGTATTTGTGAGACATAATGGTAACACTGACAATTTATAAAATAAAAATAACTAGATACATCTAAATTAAAAACTTTGGTTTACTTCCAACACCCTCACTAAAGAATTTACTGCATTAATCCTAATCTTTGAGAAATTTGTTATTTTACAATGCTCTTAGTTAAAATATCTGCAGTCATGTCTATGATGCAAGATATTCAACTTTTAAATAATTATTAGAAATGGCATCTCTTACAAAGTATTTTACATCAATATATTTCGACATCATTATGTATTCTTATAATGTATGGAATTTACAGATCATTTTTGAGCAGTTTAATTATCGTTGTATAGAGTAAGCTCAGAAATGATAATGGAATCGACGTCGATTTGATTCCATTATTGAAAATGATAGGACAGTGTAAATTTCCAGTCAATTCAAATAATAAATTTCTGAAATAGATTGCTTCCTTTAGCTAATGCTATGTATTCAGCTTTGCAAATAGACAATGCTACAATTTCCTGTTTATTCGATTGAGATTGCTGAACTCAAAGCATAAACAAGCATAAACACAAATCCAGTATAAGATACTGAATTTATACTGTATACTGAAGT